TGCACAAAGCATCTAGCTATAAACAAATAAAGGTTTTTGTTGCGTAATGAAAGTGGAAGGGAGGGATTAGGGTTAAGAGGGCAGCTAGGGAGGGGAGGGATGGTGGTTTATATGAAGGGGGGGGGGGCTAATATTAATGGGGGCCAGAGTGAAGGGAGATGGGGTTAAGAAGGGCTGACATGACACATTTATTTAACAAGAAATATAATATTCTCAAAACAAACAAAATAGATTTTAAAATATCATGATTTATTTGTTTTTAACATGAAACAGGCTAACAGCCCTTTTCATAAATATATATATAGATAAATATTATTCAAACTTTATAATTTCTTAATAAATAAATAATATGAAAATAATGTTAAACTTATTATAAAAAGATCTAGAGGGGGAATATTGAAAATTAATTATAATTATAAAGAACTTAGTAGAATACAGAAGAAGTTTTGGTCAAACGATCTGCATATAGAAGAGAGAGGGGTAAACGGGAGGAGGGGAGGGGGGGGGATTTTGCAAAATGTTGTTACGTGTAAGAAATATTTCAAGTTTGTTTAGACTAGGTTTAGTCTCGGAGAATCTAGGCTTTAAGCTTCTCTGTTTCTCAGAGTACTATTTATAGTGGGAGTTCTTAGAGTACTATATATAGTAGGGAGTTATCAGTGTACTTTTCACGGTAGGGGATTTAGAGGGTACTATTTAGAATAGGGAGTTCTCAGGGTTCTATTTAGAGTAGGGAGCTCTCAGGGTACTATTTAGAGTAGGGAGTTCTCAGGTTAAAATTTAGAGTAGGGAGTTTTCAGGGCAATGTTTACAGTTCTCAGGGTCCTATTTAGAGTAGGGAGTTCTCAGGGTCCTATTTAGAGTAGGGAGTTCTCACAATTCTTTTTAGAGTAGGGAGTTCTCAGGGTCCTATTTAGAGTAGGGAGTTCTCAGGGTATTATTTAGAGTAGGGATTCTCAGAGTACGTTTTAGAGTAGGGAGTTCTCAGGGTACTATTTAAAGTAGGGAGTTCTCAGATTACTTTTCATAGTAGGGAGTTCTCAGGGTACTATTTATAGTAGGGATTCTCAGAGTACTTTTTAGAGTAGGGAGTTCTCAGGGTATTATTTAGAGTAGGGAGTTTTCAGGGTAAAATTTAGAGTAGGGAGTTTTCAGGGAAATGTTTAGAGTAGGAGATCTCAGGGTTCTATTTAGAATAGGAGTTCTCAGGGTACTATTTAGAGTAGGGAGTTCTCAGGGTACTATTTAGAGTAGGGAGTTCTCAGGGTTCTATTTAGAATAGGAGTTCTCAGGGTCCTTCTTATGAAAGTATATAAATAAACCTTTGCATAATGAATATGGTAGTTGGTAAATGCAGCAACATATTTTCTTATTTCAGCCATTTTTCTTCTGTTTAAATATTTCTATTTTCTTTTATACCAAAGTTGAAAATGTTCCATTAGTTTTATCTTTTTCAATTCTGGAGTTCCATTACAGCCTACCCTCAATCCTTAATCCTTTATTCTAGTCTATACCCGGAGCTACAAGGTTTTAAATTTAAATATTTTTCTAGTTCTACCAAGAATTGAGATTCGAACTATGTTGGGGTAAAAAATTGAGGAATGTAATATCCAACATTCTCCGCATCTCAAGAACTATCTATCCAACTAGTATTCATCAATCTCGATAAATCAGTTTTTGTTTGCAATAATCTAAAATCTGCATATAAAAAGTGCTTTGAAAGCATGGAAATGTGCTCTGCAATTTATAGTTTACATTTGATTTATTTCCTTTTGAAAATATAAGTAATTATTTTTAGATTGTCTTTATTTGGAATAGGATTTTACCTTAGTTAACAAGTTTGCAACTTCATGACCGGTTTTGAGCGCTCTGACCAGCGCGCGAGCAGCGACCAGTGACCGTTTGACCGAACTTGAGAGTTTACGAGGAACGTCGCCAAAGGGCTGGAGTTCTTGCATATTTTCAGATACACAGCTCATGTACAAACTGTCGAAAGTGTACTGCGAGTTCAAAACCTGTAAATAATTGTTAAAGAAATATTTAACATTTCCTTGGAAATCATGAAAATCTTTCTAATTTTAACAAACAAAATTTTCTTAGAAATTCATTTTAGAAATACAATGAAAATTAAATTTAAAAAAAACTTCAAAGAATCAGAAATGAAAGAGAGGGGAGGGGGGGGGAGGGGGTTCTGTGTCAATAAGAGTGAATTTTGATGAAACAAAGTCAAATTAAAAAAAGTTTTGAAAAGAAAGTTCTGAAGGTTTGCCCGCTCGATCCATCAAGAAAGTTTAAAATGATGTTCAACGTCATACTCTTTATAATACCCCAGTCATTACTTAGACTTAACCTGTCTAATTAGATACACGGCTATAAAGACTATAAGCTATAAGGTAGAAAATACTTTGACTAAAATACATTCATAAATAGGCCATAAGCTATAAGTTGGAAAATGTTTTGGCACAGGACATTAGATACATTGATGTCAAGGTAAAAAGTATATTTATATAATAAAAAACTAAAAAATTACATCGGAAAGGCGATCTTTTTAAATTTTAAACAAGATATTTTTAAAAATCAGAAAGATATTTCTTTGACATCTTAAGTATCAGTAATATTAAACAAAACCATTGTTAATACAATTGACAGGAAAAAAGCTTTTCATTTTTTGTTAAATATTTCTAAACTTAGGTAAATATATTTAACTAATAGTTAGATATATCTAAACCCAGGCAAATATATTTAACTAATAGTTAGATATATCTAAAAGTACCTGAAACATCTTCTGATAAAGAATATTAAAAAAGTTAGTTGTGGTGTCCCCGAGGTCAAGTGTTCCTCTGTCATAGTACACCTTCAAATCTTTAAAATAATCCTGAAAAATTTTTTAGAAAAATCAAATCTAGTTAATTCTTAAATAAATAATTTTTCTAATTTTTTACCTGAAAGACGTTAGCATTCTTCTGGTACATGATTCCATAGGTTCTGGTAAACATGTCGTGGAAACCACGCTGGGCTTTGTTCAGCAGAGAATACACAAAATCTAAATATTCGGGGATTTCAAAAATATATTATTTTAGTAATTCCAATTTTTACCGCCAAAAAGGCGCGTCACCAGATTACAATTATTAACTTACCATCAATTTGCTGAGCTTTACGGTCAATCTCGGCCGCCATTGAAGTTGTCCGGTTAAAAATAGCATCCCTAAAATTATATATTTTTTTTAAAATGTTAATGTTATTTTGTTTTGTAATGTTGCACTTAAAATGCATGCTTGTTTAAGAAATAAATGCATCCGACAAGAATGCATTCTAGCAATCTATAAATTCTGCATTAAACTCTTGTTATTAGCTGTAAACCTTTTTTCCCCTTTTATATACAATTTAGAAATTGTTCTTAGAGGAGAGGGGGGGGGGGGAGAAAACTTTAGATATTTAAATTCTTTCTTTCCCCTTTTGTCAATTTAGTTTAAGTTTCCTTCAAGTTAAATGAAATGCATTCTGCGCCATTCTTCAAGAATTTAATAATTCAATCTCCCTTTATAGACCTCAATTTTTAAAAGTTTGTTAAAACAATTGCCTGAAGTTTGAGACCTTCCATTATATATTGTTTACCAAGCTCTTTAATAAAGTGAACCAATTAGATCTTATGTTTAGTCAGGTAGTAACCAGGGGGATCTGCAGAAAGTGTACAAGGGAAACCAGGGGAATCTGCAGAAAGGGTACAAGGGAAACCAGGGGAACCTGCAGAAAGTATACAAGGGAAACCAGGGGAATCTGCAGAAAGTGTACAGGGGAAAACAGGGGAACTGCAGAAAGGGTACAGGGGAACCCAGGGGGATCTGCAGAAAGTGTACAGGGGAAACCAGGGGGATCTGCAGAAAGTGTACAATTCTTTCTTTCCCCTTTTGTCAATTTAGTTTAAGTTTCCTTCAAGTTAAATGAAATGCATTCTGCGCCATTCTTCAAGAATTTAATAATTCAATGTTTGGTTACAAAGGGCGGGAAGGCGTCCATCTTGATTTTATTTTATGTTTAGGAATTTTGTGGATTTTTGACGGGAGGAAGATATCTATCAATCATAATCAAAAATGTTGGTTAATAATAAATATATTTTATAAAACAAAGCTTCAGAAAGAAAACTTATCAAATTGCTTTTTTATTTGATAATAATACATTTTTAAAACATTTTGGCCTGAGATTTGATTTGAATCTATCCNTTTCCCTTCATCCTAGCCCCTGCCCCTGTTTATTTCTAAATGTGTAAACTGTAAAGTGATGTTTATATTTCTTTTCGAGGCACTTGACGGGGAATAAAAAGTGTAGATAAAGTTTTACACCCGCCCTAGGCTGACATATTGCTGAGGATAGGAAATACATTGAAATGTTATTGAGGCAAACATCAACAAAGCAAAGTGTACACTCAACAACTTTACGACGTCATCTGTTCAAATTTACGAAACGACGAGGTTGCGTGATTTTTAGATTAAACTTGTATATATTGTTTATATTGTTTTGTACATACTTATTCATGTAAATAATGCAAAATTTAAAAACCATGTTTATTAAATTTGAGACCTGTTAATTTTTGTATGTACCAAAGTTTATAAATGTACATTAATATTACCAAGTTTATGTACACGTATTACTTAGTTCATGTACAATGTTTTCAAGTTTATGTACAATATTCCCAAGTTTATGTACAATTTTCCCAAGTTTATGTTCAAGGTACCTGTATTGCCGTTCTGACCAAGCCCCTAGTTTCTCCTCTATAGCCCGTGTACAGCATGTTGGACCACTAGGGCAGAACTGTAGTCCTAAACCTAAACAAACAGGATTTTTGGTAAAATTATTTTACTTTGCAAATCTTTAAATTAGATATTTCGAATCTGACTTTTTCATAAGAATATAAAGATTGAACTAAGGTTAGAGTTTCAATTGCGAGTGATCAGTTCTTTAGATTTGACAGTTTTATTTTGTAATCTTCTTTTAGAAAAAACACTAAAGCCTAGTTTTTATTTGTTATAATTCTGTGCTCCATTGTTAATTATTTGTATTACTATGTAGAGATTATTAGATTATTATATTATCTACCAGATTATTATTAGAGATTATTTTACTGCGGACTCTTAGGATCTTAATAAATAGGTTGGAGGTTTATTTTCTGTCAGTGCTCAGTGGACAGGGTTTAAACCTCCTTTTCATAATTGGACACAGTGGGAGGGTTAAACAGGGGGGGTAGAGGGGGAGGAGCTTTACATAGACAATTTAGACACAGTGTAACTGGATAACACATTAATTATTGAATATCTGTTTGAAAAAGATAATTACAATGATAATTCTAATGTGAATGATGAATTGCTATGGAGGGTGTCAAAACCTTTCCACAATTCTTTATTTTGAAGGGAAAGCTCAGTTTAAGAAGATGAGAGGGGGGGGGTTACATCTGCCCCTTGTTTACAAAACATTACCTTGTACTGGTCTACCAGGAATATCATATTCTGGCACCCCTCGGGAACTATAGGTATATTTTAACTGATCACAGGCTGGTAAAGGAGGTATCGTGGTCAAACAAGCCGGGCTCACAAAGACAAAAAGGATTAAAACTAGCATTGTCCTAATAAATTGGCACTAAATGTATTTAGTTTCTAGTTTCGTGGATTTCTGGTGTGTCACATTCCTCCTTCAGCCGATTTGTTTCCTCGGTTGTAGTAACCGGTAAACTGAAGAGAGGAGACTCTCTAGAGCCGCGAGAGCGGGAGCTGGGGTGTCAATCAGCGAAACTGGGACCCAACCGGCCAGTCACGGCGCAGGGGCGGTGAGCGGTCAGCAGGTGGTCACAGTACACCGTCACCTGGATTCAATGTTTGCGGATTTATCCTGATCTTGTTGGTTGATTATTTGACCCGAAACCAGTAAAACTCTACCCCGGAAATACCCGTTCAAAGGGTTAATTGACAACATAATTGTTAAACCAATATTCATTGTTGTTCAAACTATTTTTAAAGATTAATCCTTCCGTTCAGACGTATATATATAATTAACAACATTTCTCTTAGTTTAAAGAGACAATAAACGAAAACTGTCAACCCCGTCCTGTTTTTGTTCTAAATGAATAGAGATATAGGAGCACTTGGAGAATTAAGTAAACTTACAGTTTCTTTTCAACTTGACAAATTACTTTCTTTTTACATAGAGCCAACTTTCATCTTCAGAAAGGGTGGATACAAAGAAATTTTCAGTTCGGAAGTGCAATCGACCGTAAGCAAACTTGTATAAATGAGGAAATAGAAATAATGAAAAAATATTTCTAAATTCATATATATAGCATGATTAGAATAGATTTAAAACTGTCCCAATTTTTTTTATTAACTTAACTTCATAAATTTGAAATTAATGCTTAATAAAACTACATTTCCCCTGAAATAGCAGAATTCAATCATGAAACTAAATTCCTGAATTAAACTAAAACCGCTACTTGATTAAATTTAATATTTGTTTAACTAAATTAACCAAGACTAAACAAAATTCTGGAAATTAGATTTTATGAATATCTGTGAAAAGAGTGAAAAGTAAATTAAGTTTTTAAATTCTGTATTCTGAAATTCTGTATTCTGTACTTCTGTGGCAGAGTTATTCTATTTTCTTCATTCTGCATTCTGTATTCTTCCTTCCATATATTTAATCTGTATAAAGTTGTAATCTCTGTTTGTTTGTTTGTATGTCAGATCATAACTCATGAACCCCTTCATTCAAATTTTGATTGGAGAAAATGGGAGAACCACGAGAATGTTCTTAGTTTAGTTTTTAGATTCTATAAGTTGAGCGGGTTCACTTTCATTAAAAATATAGCTATAATTGGAATTTAAATATTCTAGATTTTGTATTCTAAAGATTTTGTGACTATTTCCTATTTAAAGTTGTCATGTGAATATTTTGTTTAAGAGGTTTCGTGATTTCTAGTATACAAGGTTTCGTGATTTTTAATATCCGAGGTTTCGTGAATTTAGTATACGAGGTTTCGTGGTTTTCTAGTACTCGAGGTTTTGTGGTTTGTTTAGAAGCTGTGCTATGTAATAAACCCCTGCTCCCCCCAGTCCCTTCCTCCGCTCCCCTCCCCGCTCATCACTCTATCTCATGTTTTATCTCTAGTTTACAACGTGAACGCGGCCCGGGAAGGATTAGCTGCAGGGCTAGTCTAGGGATCATGCTTCAGACAATGGATAAATTGAACTGTGATTGGTTGAATCAATGGTTTATAAGTTTTTTAAGTAAGCGCTAGGTGTCTCTAATAAATTTTTTGTAAATATTCAAAAAAGAAAACTAGAAATAAAATTTGCAAGCAAGAAAATATTCACCTGTGCAAATAACTTTTTTAAACAAATGAAAAATTTCAATGAAATCTTTTCTAAGCATAAAATTTGTCAATGAGTGGACTGTAGTTAAAAACAAATATAATCCTGTAGGATAAACGACAACATTATTTTGGCTGGTAAACACTACTAAAGCTGTGTTTGTGAAGACATACATATCATTTTAAACTAGGGAAGCATGACGTTGCAGATGAAAGTTGAAAATACTTTTGGATACTAATCTAGCACCCATGTTTCACCTAATTAAGACTGGACGGGAACGTAAGTAAACAAAGGAAACATGATTTTATTTCAAACGCTTCATGTGGCATATTTATAGATTTATTTTCAAAACTGAGGAGAAAAAAGGAAATATTCTACACTATGCATAGGGTCAGGGGTCCTAATCAGGGAAACTTTTTACAAAATTACGCTGTAATTTCGAATAATTTCCACAAGGTAATTTCGCAAAATATCGTAATAATTATGCGGAATTAGCAAAACTTTAATTTTGCAATTTATGCCGTTATTTCGCAAAATGTTGCAACAATTATGCCTTTTTAAAAAACTTCAATTTTAAAGTATTTAAAATATCCAATCAGATTGACATGGTTATAGCTCATAATCCTTACACAAATTTTCCTGCTATATTCATTTCTGAGAATTAATATGTACTTCACTAACTACGGAATGGTTTTTTATTACATAGTTTTGCAAAATTACACCTTAATTACGCGAAACTAGACTTTCTTTCATATACGTAATTGATACATAATTTTGCGTAATGATCCTCTGTAAGTGAAAGAAAGTGTTACACATATAATTATACGCGTAATTATGCGTAATTGTATTTACGTCTGGAAACCCTACAAACTGTTCCACAAAGTCATGGAGATTCTACGAAAACCAAAAATATGCTGTAATAACACCTGCAAGTGAAAAAAGAAGTCAATACTTTTGTGTGATAAATATTTGAGATTTTTTATCACTGTTTTATTTTATGAATTTGCTATCTTTTAATACATGTCATAAATCTACAAGTTTTTTTTCATTTGAACTATTTTTTTTGTCCCTTAGAACTATTTTTTTGGCCATTTGAACTTCTTTTTTTTGTTCATTTCAATTATTTTTATGTCCATTTGAACTATTTCATTTAAACTTTTTTATGTCCAATTGAACTATTTTTTTGTTCATTTAAACTATTTTATGTCCATTTTGAACTATTTTTATGTCCATTTAATTTTTTTTTGTCATTTTCATTTGAAATATTTTTTTCTAATTTTCTCAGCTATCCAAATTGCGTAAGCAACGTAAACGCATAATATTTTGGCTCCAATTACGCAATTAAAACGCAAATTTGCGTAAGTCTAGATTTTAAATTAGTATAAATATCTAATTTTTCTACAGTAAAAATTTTATAACCCAGCTTTAAGTAAAAATATCATGAATTTGTTGAGATAATTATCATTTTATTTCAGGTACACAAATTGCGTAAAAATACGCTTAATTTGCGTAATTGCCTAAAACTCTAAATCTAAATTATTTGTGAAAAATCTAAAATTTCCGATACGGCATATTGTATTTTCCAAAAAAAATTGAAAAAATAAACTGTTTAAATTTAAATTGTCCTTGCTAGCATTAAAATTGCGTAAAAATTGCGCTCTTTTTACGCATATGTTTTGAGTGTTATAAATATTGAAGAATTGAGTAGCCCAGGTGTGTGTGCACTGTGCAGAACGTGCAGCAATATATAATAATGTTATATTAAATAGTTAAGCCGTGTGATTTGTAGATAAGAGTGGGAAAGGGGGGGAGAGGAATTGGGTAGAGAATTAAAAGCGCTACATAGCACACTGGTTTTTAGTACCAAATTTCACCGCAAGGTGTCTCTGTTTGTTTCACGTAAAATTAAAAAAGTGAAATGGTTCAGATTAAATTTTTTACTAAAAGTATATCATTTAGAAGTAAAGATTTAGGTTTTAAGTTATTTTTAATTTTTTAAATAAAACATTTTTATTAGGGAAATGCACTGAATTTTCTATCAGAAAGTTTTATATACGTTTTATAAATCCTTTCATCCAGTAAAGCTAGATTCAGTAATCTCTACATGAAACTGTATTCCTTAATGAATAGAATCAGCTTAGAGAGCGAAACTTATACTGCATCCATCTATCCATTCAGGGATGGATGGCCTATTTGTATGCATCATATTTCCGTAGATTTAGCATAACTTTTGTTAAAAGAGAGCCGACATGTTAGTTGAGAGAATAAAAACGCGCATTTTCGGCGTAAATTTGTATAATATTATTACGTAAATTTTACGTCTACTAAAACCAATAAATTTGAGTAGCTAAGTGTGCGATTTTATGTCTTTCATGACGTAAAAAGAGCCAAAATCTCTACGCAAAATTTACGTAAAAATGCGAAAAGTGACGTTTAAATTGCGCTCTTTTTGCGCAATTTGGCTAGCTAGATTTTTTCATTTGAACTATTTTTTTGTTTAGTTAAACTATTTTTGTGTTCATTTGAACTTTTTTTTTTGTTTATTTCATTTAAAATATTATAATGAAAATAGTTCAAATGAAATATAAAAAATAGTTCAAATGAGCAATATATTTACTAATTTGAACTATTGTTCATTTCAACTACTCATGCGTGGTACCACGTGCAGTAGTTGAAATGAACAATAGTTGAAACGGGAGTAGTTCAAATGAGATAGCATCTTTATTTATAATAAGTATAAATCTCGGATAGGTGCTATCTCATTTGAACTACTGCCGTTTGAACTATTGTTCATTTGAACTATTGTTCATTTCAACTACTGCACGTGGGACCATGCGTGAGTAGTTGAAATGAACAATAGTTCAAACGAGTAAATAAATTGCTCATTTGAACTATTTTTCAGTTCATTAGAACTATTTTCATTTGAACTATTAAAATATTATTAATGAAATAAACAAAAAATAGTTCAAATGAACATAAAAATAGTTCAAATGAACATAAAAATAGTTCAAATGAAAAAAAATAGTTCAAATGGACAAAAAAATAGCTCAAATGAGCAATAAAATAGTTCAAATGAACAAAAAAATAGTTTAAGGCAAAAAAATAGTTCAAATGGACAAAAAAATAGTTCAAATGAATAAAAAAATAGTTCAAATGAACAAAGAAATAGTTCAAATGAACATAAAAATAGTTCAAATGACGTCATGTCAGTAGTTCGAATGAACAATAGTTCAAACGAACAATAGTTCAAACGTACCATAGTTCAAACGGCAGTAGTTCAAATGCGGATCCACCCTCGGATATTTTGTGTCGTCTTTGCTTACAATCAATGAATCAACAATCTCTTTTGACAATAAAACTCGGCATTTGCTCAAGTTCTTTTAACAGTTTTTATTAACAAACCACCGCGAAATCCTCAGCTTTCTTTGTGAAATTAATTCTTATTTTAAACGATTAAACCATATTTATTTCAACTTTAATTTATAAAAATAAAAGATTGCTAATAAATCTAAAATTTCGGGGATTAAATTTTGTTGTCTAAACAAAATGGTTGCGTTAATTTCAGAACTTAAATAATGCTGATATAAATGCCGGGAAAGAAGCGAGGGCGGGAAGATGAGGAGGAGGGGGAGGAGGTCGAGGGAAGTAAGAGAGGGCGAGAGCAGGAGGAAGTGGAGCAGGGAGAAACAGGTGAATTAACTGGGTCTTTAATACGATTCTGGGTAATTTCCCAATATATGTTTTTTTGGACCCGCCCCCCTCCTATCACTTTTGTACTTGGATCTCACAAGTAACACATGGATATAATTGGTCATGTGGCCGCAACACCCGGCCCCCTAGCCTGTACTAGCCGCGGCGCTCGGTACCCTAGCCAGTCTTAGCCGCAGCGCTCGGTCTAGACAAACCATGTAATAGCTTAAAAAATAATAATATTTTTGCTGAAAAATAAGTGGTCATGTACAAAGTTGATAGATGGGGGGGAGGGGGTCCAAAAATCGTATACTGAGACGGACTCCGAAAGAACCCCAAAATTGTTTGAAGGGGTAACGGGGGGTAACTTACTTTTACTATTCTACTAAATTAAGTCACATACATCTTCTGAATATGCACTCTACTTAGAGTAATTTCCTAGAGATCGGCGACAAATTGGGATCAGCGGAATAAACCAAAATTTCGAACTTAAACTTTAAATTAATAATTAACATAATTAACTTTATCAAAAAAAGTCAAAAGCAGAAATCCACATTATATACTTAGGACCAAAAATAGCAACAAAAAAAAGAAAGAAAGTAAAGACAGACTTAGTAAAATAAACCGGGGCGTAGACGGATGAAAGTAACAAAAATGGTCCGCCATCCCCTTAAAAAGGAACGAAGGCCTAGGAATCTAACGTAAAATAGAAGAGTAAAACAGCACAACTATTAGCAAGCACTTAATTTAGAAAACAAATTAAAGATTCATTTTATAACATAATATAATATTCATAATATAAGGAAGCCAACTTGCCAGACAAATAAATCAAATCTTGATCATCAACAAAGGACTATTTTTGAAAATATAATTTTATTTTGATACGGATCCTGGATCCGCCTTGAGATTTCTTCAAGATTTACCGAATTATTTTAACAAACACAATTTCATTCTTAAACATAATGGACCATTCAGAGATTTTTTTGAGGTTTTGTCTCCTCCCTTGGATCCGTATCCGTTGACCAAGTCAAACTAATGTAAATTGCAAGGTTCTAGTTTACTGATTTGATTATTTATTAAGTGTCTGGAGCAGTGTGTAGGAACGGACACACCCTGGTTCTAGTTCCGCGGGAGGTTCGGAGACTAGAGAAGGATTGTGTTTGGTCTTGTGACTCCACAACCTGTAAATATGTCTGGGGGGAGGCCCAGGGGATGTTCATGGATAGACAAAGGTAAATTCAGGAACTGTCCATTTAATTCGTCATGTGACCCTTTTTAGCAAATATGGCTAGCTCCATTCACAACGATTACCAAAACCTTAACCTCATCAATAATGTGGGATATGTTTTTCTAGCTTTAAAAATGTGTAATTCTGATAATTTCTATATCTTTTCCTGCAGCAGAGTCACTTTTGTAACAACAATTAAAAATAATCAGTTTTCAAAGTTATGAACATCAATATCTAATTAATATTTGATTATACAAAGCTTTTAAGGGTAGCGTTGTGAATTTGACATTGTCATCTTTTCATGAAATGTTTGAAATGTTTGGGTTATGTGTTCAGAACTGAAAACTTTAGAATGAGATATCCTTAATCTCGATTACTTAATCTGAGTATCCAATGGACACACTTTTGATTTTCTCCTTAAACCGTTTTTTTTGATATAGTAGAGATAAATCAAAAACCGTTTTTTTTAATTTAGAGAGTCCCTCCCGTTTCTGTATATTAATCTTAAATGGTGCGCAAAATTTAAAATTTAAAGATAAGGTTAGTCTTGATATTAAGAAAAAGAGATGATCAAGCATTAATCTCAATATCCACCATTCTAAAGTTTTCAGCTCATATATTTTTGTATTCACTTTGTGGCAGAAGCAATCTTAAATGTATATATTATGCTGTTAAAAAGCGTTTGGATTGATATAAGTAGTGCTTAGGATCCATTTAATTTTGATCCGGATGCGGATCCGGATCCAGGTCATTTCTTTAAGATTTACTGAAATTTTTTGTTTCATTTTTTCGCTTATTTTTATCCTAAAACTTGATGAATCATTCAGAAATGAGTAAATTTTATAATCTCTTTTTCAAAAGTTCAGATTTGGGTTTTAGGAGTAAAAAAGTTTTTTTTTGCAGTTTTAGTTAATATTTTACCCCATGCATCCGGATCCGTGGATCCACATATTTTTGCGGATCCGGATCCAGGAAACCAAAATCTTGCGGATCCAACGGATCCGGATCCTAAGGACTGGTTATAAGGGTGCCGGTGCATATATCACATTAATATGCAGAAAATATTATATTCAATATTTACGAATATCTAGTGCATCAAGATTAAAAATAAAGGACATTTTTTTTCGTAGAGTTTGATTTGAAATATCTTTTCTTTGTTGTTTATTTTTCGACATTTTTTATTCTTTTTTATTTGGCCTTTCTGTTTTCTTTTTAAGAAATCTTTTCTTTTGGCTCCTTTGTCCCAACAATGGAAACTAGAACTGATTAGAATTCTTTACATATTTCTCAAATCTAGGTTTATAAATATTTAACGTTGGTACAGTTTTTATATCACAGGGTAAATCATTCCATGGAAAAAAAAACTCTTTGGCGGAAGAAATGTTTAAGAATATCAGTTCTACAAAATTTTGCACTAAGTAAAAGAGGATTTTCTGTCATTCTTAAAATTCTATTGGATGTATCTGCTAACATTAAAAACCAAGTACATTTATTAACATTATTAACACCATGAATAATTTTATAGGTTACAATTAAATCATAGCGTAGTCTTCGACTTTCAATGGATTGTAAATTGAATAATTAGACGAAGAACCAGTGAGTTCTGAAACAATTGAAACCGCCCTGCACCGCACTTTTTCAATTTAAACAAAATCATAAATGGGTCTCACTGTATGTGTTCACTATATTATATGTTCAGATATAGATGTGTTCACTATATTATATGTTCAGATATAGATGTGTTCACTATATTATATGTTCAGATATAATGTGAATTGTCCGGCAGCCGGAGGAGAAAAGAAGATCAAGTAGAGAACCTAAACCTAAGTTTAACGGAGGAAGAGACGGAGAATGGTTAATCTCTCCTAAATATCAAACCAAGTCGGAGAAACAAACCAGTCCTAGCTCTAAACCTAGTCCCCGCTCTGCTATTGTATCCCCCAAGAGAACAGGACGGAAAGGAAGATCAGGGTCCGGCTCCAGGTCCCCTAGATCAGCGCTGGGTAGATCAACCAGGTCGAGACGGAGCAGTGGATCTCCGATAACTGCGGTGGGACGCTCTCCACGAGGATCTGCTCACGAGAACGGAAAACTAAATCACCCGGACGAATCTGAAAGTGAAAGTGAGGAAGAAAACTTGAAAAGAGTCGAATCTCCGCCGTTTTATCCCTCCGCCGCTCACCACGTTCGATTCTCACCCTCCGTCAAGAATGGGTCTCCCTTTGGACGAAAAACTAGGAGTGGCCGCCGAGGGATGAGTTCCTATCTGCAGAGCCTGCCATCTGAAGACGAGCAGAGCGAGTTCAATCGTTTATATACTCGGGATCTGAGGAAACGGCAGGCGAGGAAACTAAGTGAAGAAGGCGCTGATGAGGAAGAACCCTACTCAAGGTCAAGGATTTTATATTTTAAAGCATACCCCCCCCCCANGGGGGGGGGGCTAATCCCGTAATTTTTTTATTTTTTACAATTCAGCATTATACGCTGAACATATCGTACCAGAAAAAGTTCTCTATGGAAATTCGGAAAATCAACTTAGACTTCCGAGGAATTTTTGTGGGGATCCAAAGGCACCATTTTTTCCTTTTTTTTAATGAATGCTTTTGAAAATAATTGTTTTAAGGAGATAATCAGTGGACTTTTGCTTTAAAAGAACAAAAAATAGGGGAATATAGTCCCCCCGCCCCCCCCCCTCAATATTTAAAATTAATAATAAAATATCATCTTGAAAAAGTATTTTTTTAATTAAAATATAACCTTGACCCTCCAGAAGAAGGAAAGGACGGGTCAGCTTGGCGGAAACATACGACGAAAATACGGAAGAGGATACTCCAGTCCGGAGCCGTATGAAACCCAGAGCTAGAGCTATTGCCTCCGAAGGTTCGGAGGAAGAAGAGGAGGAGGAGGAGGAGGAGGAAGAAGGAGCGGAGGCAGAACCAACTCCCCGGAGAAGTACTCGGAGAGTTAGTGAGTCTCAAAGTGAACCGGAAGCTCATCCGGCTAAACCTAGGTCAGCTACATACAGGGGTCACAAAATAAAATGGAATGCTACAACAACATTTTCAAGTTCCAAAACATAAACGAGAAAATGTTTAAAGGGGAGGGTACACTTCCCATTTGAATACATTTTGGACTCCTCTCTTCATTTTTTCAGGAATCTGAAAGAAATTTTGCATATGGGCATAATTTGTGTTTGTTTTTAGTAAAATAAAAAAGAAATATGGAAAAAAATATTTTTTCCCTCTTTTTCCACATTTTTCCATGTTTTTTAAACCTTTTCACCAAAAAGTCTGAGTCAAATACCAGCTAGGTGCTTTAAACACCTGCTTGTTAGTCAAGAATCGCATTACTAACATCAGAACGAAGTTTAAGGTTTTTCAGATTATGTGATTGATTGAGCATCTGCTTAAATGATGCATTGATTGACTGATAAAATATTTCCCACCAACTTTTTATTTTGTTTTTCAAAAAAAATCCAATGAAGGCAGGTGTTTAAAAAGTTCTTTATTTGTCGATGAAAACTGAATTCATGAATCTAGAAAATGTGAAAACTATTAACAAACTGGGAAAATATGATAAAATATGTTTTTAAATGAATTTCTTCAGTTAATTACATCATTGTTTATAAAAGTAGTTACTTACCTTTACTACTGAAGTGGTGGGGGAGAGGTTCAGGTAAATGGTGGAAAGTAAAGAGAAATATTAAATATAGCTTGATTGATTGAGCGATTGAATAAATTATTGATTGATTGACTGGATTGAAAATCCCCCCTTTTTTATTTTGTTTTAAAAATATATAATCCAATTAAGGCAAAAAAAATTGAATTTTTGTTGAAAAATTAATTTATGAATCGAGAAAATCTGAAATATGGAAAAATATGGAAAAATATGGAAAAATGTGGAAAAAGGGGAAAAAATGAGGGAAAAGGGATCTGAAAAACCTTAAACTTTTTTCTGATGTTAGTAATGAGATTCTTTACTATCAAGCAGGTGTTTAAAGCACCCAGCTGGTATTTGACTCAGACTTTTTGGTGAAAAAGCTTTAAAAAACATGGAAAAATGTGGGAAAAGGGGGAAAAAATATTTTTTTCCAATTTTTTTTTTTTGTTTACTTAAAACAAACACAAATGATATCCATATGCAAAATATCATTCAGATTCTTAGAAAAATGAATCCATGAATCCAGAAAATCTGAAAACATTATCAAAGTGGGAAAATATGATAAAATAAGGGGAACATAGGGGGAAAATAGGGGGAAAAAGGATCTGAAAAACCTTAAACTTCGTTCTGATGTTAGTAATGAGATTCTTGACTAACAAGCAGGTGTTTAAAGCACCTAGCTGGTATTTTATTCAGACTTTTTGGTGAAAAAGCTTTAAAAACATGGAAAAATGTGGAAAAAGAGGGAAAAAATATTTTTTTTTTATATTTTTTTTATTTTACTTAAAACAAACACAAATGATGCCCATATGCAAAATTTCATTCAGATTCCTGAAAAAATGAAGACAGGAGTCCAAAATATATTCAAATGGGAAAAGTGTACCCTCCCCTTTAAACATTTTTTGTTTCAAATCTTTCTAAACATGATAAATATGGACAACATGTCGTTCATCCAAATAATTCAATATTTTTTCAAATCTTATGGTAACGGGGGTTCATGGTTTACAAACCTAATAGACATCATTCCACATCTTGGTTTTTTAAACACGTTGTTAAGCTCAAGAAATATTCTCATATCTTTTATTGATTGTTTTTGAATTAAAGCTAAATTAAATAAAACCTAGAAGATTGCTGGAGACATAATATAGATTGAGATCGTCTTTGTATTCCATTTAAAGAGACTGTAGACCCTCCAATAATAGAGTGGCATATCCGATTCACACCGGTACCCAAAATAAACTTTGAGTAAGGAAGATATCCTCACTTTACTAGATAAAGTGTTCTTTGTCTCTGAGTTGTATAAAACCAGAAACCAATTTTACAGGAAACCACAGTCAAAATTTATCAATTTTCAGGTAGTAAAATAACTATTACTCTTTAATCGACGATCAGACAAAGGTTACAAATAGGTACAGGTATCGTTATGAATGCCACTCTATTAAGGGAGGGTTAACTTGTACCGGAACTGGAAGACTTTCTAGCTCGTCCACAATATAATCTATTCATCTATATAATAAAACACGACATTCGTGTATATATAAGTAGCGTATAGCCGGTCAAACGGCTGGACCGATTGGGCTGAATTTTTTTGTGGACACTCAGGGGTTGCCAGGGTGTGTTAAAGACTAAATAAAATTCGGCATTATTTTTTTCCAATTTTTGTTTATTTATTGAAAAAAAATGTTTTCAAAATTTATATATATATATATAAAAAGTATATCTTAATTTAGATTAAAATTACGTTTCTAGTTCTTAAATACTGTAAATAATTGTAAATAATTGTTGATGGGAGATGTCTGTCTTTTATTCCGGGATTATTGCTTCTTTTTAAACTTATAAATATTTTTTAAATATAAAAATTGGTCTTCAAGAATATATAAAGTTCTAGAGAAATCCTAATTTTAATTGAAACTAATTTTCTTGACGTTTTATGCATTCTTAGTTGTATAATGGGTTGTTGGGTGCTTGAAAACTTGAAAAAAATTATACGTGACATTTTTTGACTGTATAGAACGTTTTCCACATGTCAATTCCGCAAACTGTTCTATTACCAGCAAGTGTAATGTCCGATTCACAGTGGTTCCTTTTAAACCTTCATTTAGTTAATAATAAGAAAGATATCGTAATTTTTCCATGTAAAATTTTAACACATTCCCTCACTGTCTCTGCTGTATAAATCCACACGTCACATTTACAGAGGAACAACGTTATCCTTGATCAGACAAAGAACTTTTGTGAATAGGACACGCCACTTGATAAATGCAGGGTCACTTCAAATTACACACACAGTCCTTTAATGATACATTTTAGAACTCGAGGACGGGTTAAGAAAGGAGAACCTGAGAGTGAAGAAAATGAGCCCCTTGCCTCTAGGAAGAAAAGCCTCAGGGCTAAGAAGGAGAAGATTGAGGATAATACCGAGGATGAGGATGAGGCCGATCCAACCGTGACGGAGGCCGCTGTTCGGAAAGGACGACCACGTCGTAGGCCGGCGGATGATGCAGATGCAGACACAGAGTCTGGAGCTGAGAAGGTTGACGAGGTTGAGACGGAGGACTCGGACGAGTTTGAGGAAGAGCAGGAGGAGGGGACCCGGAGAACATCAAGACGAACCCGGGCTCCAGTTAAGAGGTTTAATTACGGAGATGCTCCGGTGGAACAAACCAGAGGGAGTTCTAAACTGATGAACATGGATAAATATTGTTCTGAGGATGAGTTCAATGGCTGCGCTAGTCCTAAAAAGAAGAAATATAGTCTTCGACAGAAAAGAGCGAACACGACCAGATATCAGGATGAATTCCCAGCCAATGATGATAAAAACTCAAAGGATCAAGGTTTGATCCGGAGAAGTGCAATGGGACGAGAGAACGGTTTCAGCTCCAGGTCTAGAAACGACCGTAGCCGAGGACGAGGTGGACGATCTAGACGACAGAGAACGGGAGAGTCCAGCAGCTCCGCGTCCTGTAGTAGCAGCAGTGATGAGGAAGCCTTTGATCGCCGTAAAACTAAACGAATGCTGATCGAACGAGAGAAGCTCCGACCCCTGAATATGACCAAGAAGGATGTAACAAAATCTGTATTTAAGGAGAGAGCTAAGGTTGGTTCATCCCTAGCTGACGTTCAACCCATGGAGATGGATATGGGCGTAACCTTTGATAGTATTGGTGGGATGAAGGAGTATGTGAACTCCTTGAAGGAGATGGTTATGTTTCCTCTTCTCTACCCTGAGCTGTTTAATCAGTTTAAAATAGTTCCTCCCCGCGGAGTGCTATTCTACGGACCCCCTGGAACTGGGAAAACCTTGCTAGCTCGAGCTCTAGCCTGCGAGTGCTCTACGGAGAATAGAAAGGTTGCGTTCTTCATGAGAAAGGGAGCGGATTGTTTATCAAAGTGGATCGGAGAATCTGAGAGACAGTTGAGATTACTCTTTGATCAGGCGTATCAGATGCGTCCTTCGATCATATTCTTTGACGAGATCGATGGTTTAGCTCCAGTTCGATCCTCGAGACAAGATCAGATTCATAGTAGTATAGTCTCCACATTGCTAGCTCTCATGGACGGGTTGGATAACCGAGGAGATATTATTGTGATCGGAGCAACCAATAGGATTGAAAACATTGATCCGGCCCTGAGGCGTCCTGGCCGGTTTGATCGAGAGCTCCGGTTCTCCCTTCCTACCCGGAGCACTAGGAAAGAGATACTCAAACTCCACACCAAGGATTGGAATCCACCAATCAGTCCTCAACTCATGAATTTCCTGGCCTCCAAGACTCTGGGTTACTGCGGAGCTGACATCAAGGGACTATGTGCCGAATCTGCGCTCAACGCTCTACGACGACGATATCCCCAGGTGTATGAGTCCAGTCAGAAACTACAAATAGATTTGAACCAGATTGTGGTTCTCCGGGAGGATTTTGATAAAGCTCTGAGAAAAATAGTTCCGTCCACGCACAGGGTTGAGGATAAAATCCTTTCTCCTCTCCCTCGTCACATGAAAACCCTACTCGAACCAACCTATCTAAACATTGTAGCAAACATCAAGAGAATATTCCCCCACTCGGGTATGGGGAAAGGAGCACTGATTCCCCCGACTCTGACTCATAGACCACGTCTTATGATTGTAGGGTCTGAAGGCCAAGGTCAGACTACGTATATTGGTCCTGCTCTGCTTCATTTTATGGAGAAGTTTCCCTGCCAGAAGTTAGATATCCCTGCTCTCTTCTCCAACTCTGCTCGAACCCCGGAGGAGGCATGTAATCAGATTATTCACTCTGCCAGACGAACCATGCCTGGAATACTTTATATACCGCATCTTTGCCTTCTCTGGGATACTATCTCGGAGACGGTTCGTGCAACCCTGACAACCCTTCTCACAGATATTCCTCCCACAGCTCCTCTTCTTATCCTGGCAGTCTCGAACCGACCCTACTCCACCCTGCCCCCGGAGCTGCAGGGTATGTTCCTTCCCTACTACAGGGAGGTGTACAAGCTGGAGAACCCGGGAGAGAATGAGCGAAGAGAATATTTCCGTCCTCTGATTGTATCTTGCTCCGCTCTGCCTCCTAAACCTGCTCCGATACCGGAACCTGTTGAGTCTCTTCCTGTTCTAGCGGAACCAGAGTGCAGGAAACTAACAGCTAGGTAAAATTTATTATTAAAACATTTTCCAAAAATTAAAAAAAAACTTTTTTCGAACTCAAAAAATAAAACTTTTATAATTAAATGTTCGTGTTATATTTTTGAACATAACTAACTTTATACTTGAAGTCGTGAATCAAGCGACCCACTGATAGGGACATTATATATATCCACTGATAGGGACATTATATATATCCACAAATAGGGAGTTCTACATCATACAGTATCTTGCAAAGTGCAAGGCTATAAATTTTGATTTTCGGGACATGAACACAAACTTTCGAAAACTTAATTTTAGTAAAAAATATTATAAGGTTAATACAAAAATGTGTTAAGTACATGCTTAAAATACTGGTTTGACGGAAATGCTTGTATATTGTTCAATATGAAATGGAACTAGAACGGATTTTAATTTGAAATATTTGTTGTAAGAGAGGAGAAACGTCTGTTGAAGAAGGAAGAACACTTGCTGAGGGAACTGAGGATATTCCTCAGGGATATCTGGGCAAAGATCAACAGAGAGTCAAAGTTCTTCATGTTCAGGTGATTGATTGATTGATTGATAAATTAATCGATTGCTTGAAGGTTTAATATGTTAGAAAGTAATATTATGATTTTACTTTAAATAGTGTTAGATTTAATGTTTAGAAAGTTAGAAGGGATGATACTTTTTTCATTTGAGTGAGGGTGCTTGCTTGATAGATTGATTAATTGATTTAATGTTTAAGTATTTGAATATGAATAGGATTATGGAGATTTTATTTGAAATATCTGTTGAGTGATTGATTGGTTGATTTATTGATTGATAAATAGATTGAAAGATTGATTGTTTAATTGATTGATTGATTATGTTAGAGTCCCCGTAAACACAGATGAAGTGGACGACTACCTGCACTACGTGAGGAACCCGATGGACTTTGAAAAGATGCACATCAAGCTTGACGACGGGGATTATAAATGTGCTCAGGTGGAAATCTAATTTTATTAAAGGGACTGTCAACTTTTTTTCAATTAACTCTCCAGTTTTCCATTGAGCCTCCAGTTTAATAAACAAATGTTTGATTTGCTATGGTACCTTTTGAATCTTTATTTGTATTACTCTGAGGAAAATTCTCTAATGAGAAACTATAAATATTCAGACTAGTTTCTTAAATTATGGTCAGACAAAGGTCCTTGAGAAACTGACGTGCTAACTCTTTAAATTTGGGTCTTTTCAAATCACGCAGACGGTCCCTTTAAAATCTATCAAATCAGATAAAAAGTAAAAAATGTTTGAAAATAAATACAAAATATCTTGATTTTGGTGTTAAAGAAATTAACCTTCTTTAAACCCAAGATGGACTTGTTATAGTTCAAATACTCGTATCGAGTCTATTTAATCAAATACTCGTATCGAGTCTATTTAATCAAATACTCGTATCGAGTCTATTTAATCAAATAAGAAAAAAAACCTAAATCACAGAAAAGATTAAGTTAATGTAAATAAAGAGAAGTCATTTTATAACAACTTCTCTTTTTACCTGTAAACTAGAAATTTGAAAAATGCTTGTCAAATCATTTTTAATAAAAATTTGTCTTCATTGTATTAATATAAACGCCGACTGTCGCAAGTATAAATTAATTAGTATATTTTAATTTTAGGATTTCTTGAATGATATTGATCTAATCGCGAGTAATGCGACAGCGTACAATTGTGATCTAGCATACGAGACTAACAGAATCATTTGTCACAGGTTCCATTTTATTTTCTTATTTAACAATTCTGGCTTTCTTGTGGTTTAACAAAATAATCTTGATATCTTTTATCATATGTGAGGAGTTAATCTTGATATCTTTTATCATATGTGAGGAGTTAATCTTGAATCTTTTATCATATGTGAGGAGTTAATCTTGAATCTTTTATTGAAGAGTTAATCTTGAATCTTTTATCATATGTGGGGAGTTAATCTTGATATCTTTTATCATATGTGAGGAGTTAATCTTGAATCTTTTATCATATGTGAGGAGTTAATCTTGAATCTTTTATTATATGTGAAGAGTTAATCTTGAATCTTTTATCATATGTGAGGAGTTGATCTTGAATCTTTTATCATATGTGGGGAGTTAATCTTGAATCTTTTATCATATGTGAGGAGTTAACCTTGAATCTTTTATCATATGTGAGGAGTTAATCTTGAATCTTTTATCATGTGTGAGGAGTTAATCTTGAATCTCTTATCATGTGTGGGGAGTTAATCTTGATTTCTTTTATCATATGTGAGGAGTTAATCTTGATATCTTTTATCATGTGTGAGGAGTTAATCTTGAATCTTTTATCATATGTGAGGAGTTAATCTTGAATCTTTTATCATATGTGAGGAGTTAATCTTGAATCTTTATCATATGTGAGGATTTAATCTTGATATCTTTTATCATGTGTGGGGAGTTAATCTTGAATCTTTTATCATATGTGGGGAGTTAATCTTGAATCTTTTATCATATGTGAGGAGTTAATCTTGATATCTTTTATCATGTGTGGGGAGTTAATCTTGATATGTTTTATCATATGTGGGGAGTTGAATTAATGCTTGATCCTTCAATAAAAGGTTTCACTGTATGGTCGGACCACCACGGGATATCAAAGAGGAATTAAGTTAATCCGTTGGTCTGCATAAGATGTTATCATTACTTAATCCTGAGATTTACAACTCAAAAGTTTTTAATTTTAAGTTATCTTTAATCATCTATTCTTTAAACATCGGCACAAAGTACTCCAGCCGTCAAGAAAAAAATCTTGTGAAATTTAAGAAATTCTAGCCAATTCTTTACTATTTTTTGGTGTAGCAATCCGCAAGGATATTTTGAAAAAGTAAATTGTCAATTTTTCATGTTTAAATTCGATGCATGGGGAAAGGTTTAAAAGATTCCTTTGTGTATTTTTAATTGAACTAGACAGATTTTTTTTATTATTTCTAGAGCGCGTGCGCTTCAAGATTTTGCCTACGCGTTGGTGAAGTCTGAGATGGACACCGACTTCGAGGATGAGTGCAAGGAGATAGTTGAGAGGAGAACCAAGGCAGGGGTTCATCTAGGATTCATTAACAAATAACATCATTTAACATTTGAAAAATTGTCCACAAATAGAATCTGACTCACTAAAATTGTCTACAAATAGAATCTAAATCCAATAAATGGTCCTGAAATAGAATCTTAATTTAATAAATGGTCCTCAAATAGTATCAAACTCTATAAAATTTCCATAAATAGAATCTAACTCTATAAAATTGTCCATAAATAGTATCTAAATCCATAAAATTGTCCATAATATAATTTTACTTCATAAAATTGTCCATAAATAGTATCTAACTCCATAATATTTTCCACTAACAGCATCTAAATTCAGAAAATCTGTAACAAATAATATATCGGACCAGAAAATCTAAATCCATTAATTTTCCTAAATTAGTATCTAAATCCATTTTGCCATAAATGGTATCTAAGTCTAATTCCATAAAACGTGGCATAAAGTTAAATCTCTAGATGAACACCTTAACCAAGGTCACTTCCAAGCTCAAGAAGATGGACAAGGAGAACCCAGAGCTGGTTCCTTCTCCCAGTAAAATGCAGGTAATGGTGGGCTTTCATCAGGGTTAAAATAACTCCCAAAAGATTTAAGTTTCTGGTTGTTGGTTTTAGGGTTTCAAGTGTTTTTTTTTCAAATACCAACTCTGGTTTTGATTTCACTCTTCAATTAGAGTTTTGGGTTTTGCAGCTTCAGATTTTGTCGGATTTTATTTGAAGAAAAAAAAATTTTAATCCTGAAATATATTTTATTTTCACTATTTTGTGAAACAGACAGAGAAACAGAGATACTTTTTTATCTAGGATATGATGGCTATAGTATCTACGCGATGCGAGATCTGTAAGAGTAGAGAAGATGACAGCAATATGCTGCTCTGTGACGGCTGTGATCATGGTTATCATACATACTGCACCAAACCAACCATCACAGAGGTTCCAGAGGGAGACTGGTTCTGTGTTAAGTAAGATTTTAAGATTAATTAAACCTTTATAGTATTAAAGAGAGGAACAACTTAGCGGAATGTGTAATGTATATTTAAGAATTTTAAAATGAAAAAATTTGCATTAATTGACAAAAATGTCCAGTGTCCATTGTCCACCTATTTTACAATTATATTGCAATAAATATTAAAATTATGCAATATTTTTACTTCTAACGAAAAAGATTGGGAATAACCCATTTGTGCAATTACTTCTTTGTAAAAATGAATTGTGTGTTAAGATGTTTGGATGCTGGGTTGGATAAAACCCATGACCTGGACCTGGAGACTGGAGAGACCCCTAGTGAAGGAGGGTCCGGAGGAGCCAGGAAGAAAAAACGTCGACGCAACAAGTGGGCGTCTGGTGTTGCTAGATCCGGGAGGAAAAAGGTTGCCAAGAAGAAGATTTTCGAGTCGGACGAAGAGAAGAAGGAGAAGGAAGAGAAAGAGGAGGAGGAGGAGGAGGATGGAAAGGATGAAGAGAATGATGAACCCATGGAGGAGGAAGGGGTCGAGGAGGAAGGGGTCGAGGAGAAAGGAGAGAAGGAGAAGGGTTCAAAAATTGATCTGGATTCAAGCTCAATTAATCTTGTGAAGAAACTGGTGAGATTATATTTATATTTCTCTGTTTCTTTACATTCATAACTCCTTGCAACTGTGTATTTCTCTGTTTCTTTACATTCATAACTCCTTGCAACTATATGTATTAATCTGGTTCCTTATATTCATAACTCCTTGCAGCTGTGTATTTCTTTGCTAAATGCTTAAATAGGCCATTAAAAGACTGTACTTCCTTGAACTCGTCATATTTTATGAGTTTTAGGTGGACTTTACAGTCTCATCCTTTGTGGGTAACCCTGTAATACAAAAATTTCTTCCCCTCCCGCATTCATTGGGATAGTGGCATGTAGTGAAAATACCTACATTTCAAACAATTTTGGGGGGATTTTTTCTTTAAAACTGATAGAAAATGATGACGGTCAAACAAAATTTATTTACGATAGGCGCGGTTCGTGTATATCCTATGTAATTTATAAGCCCATCTCTTTCAAATTTCGCGCATTTCTGGGCAAAAATGTCACTTTTGATGCCATTTTATTTGATACTAAAGTAATTTGAATCTTGAACTGGGGGTTTGGACTTCTTGTGAGTTGTTACTTTTTATATTTTAATCTACAAATCAAACCTTTGATCCCAATTTGTGTATTAAGACTGTTGATGTAAGCCCTGTAACCGGAGAAGAACTTGAACCTGTAGCTCTAGCACCGGTCCGAGAAGAGACTCCCAGCCAACCTACCGGAGTCAGGATAGACGGAAACAAGCTGATGGCTGTACACAACGAGGTGGTCAGGGTCACAGAAGGGTTTACTGTTGAGAAGCTTGAGAGAACCTATGCTATACTTGCCAAGGTAGAATTTAAAATTATCGTGGATTTTCGGAGTCTTATAAAAAATCCACAATTTGTGTTTTTCTCTCGGAAATCAAAAAATTATCATAATTATAATTTAATTATTATTTTCCAAACTTTAAAGTTTTCAATGCAAAGTTTCTCGTCTCGTGATTTAAGATTATCGTAAATGTTGTTTCTGCAAAGAGTGTAGTGGCCACCATATCAAAAAGAAATTGAAATAGTCAAATAAATATAAATTTTATCATGTATTTTTCTAAATCTAGGTGGTTCGATTGTATAAAACTCAGTTCGACCGAACGAATCTACCGACTGACCTGCAAGCTGAACTGGACGGGATTAAACAACAGGATCGACTCTCCGAGCACACTAACAGGATCAGGAGATAAATCCTTAATCCTAATCAAGTTTTGTACAAAATGAAGAAATTGCGCATTTTTATGTAAATCATCTGTCTGCTGGCTATATCATCATAAAGTGTGGGGTTTCTTTTTCTAAAATCTTCAAAAAGCGGAATTCAATCGTTTAATTTTAAAATCTCAAATCGGTTTCGCAATTTTAGCTTTTATTTAATATTTGGCAGCTTTTGTTATTAAATTAGTTAAGTAAGAAAAAATCTTTAAATCATGAAAATTATCATTCTGCTTCTACTGCCACTGTGGGTTTTTAAATCTATCGAAAATTGTAGAATATTTGTTGAGCTGACATGTTCTTTCGCTTTCACTGCCAATATAATATATCAAGTATTATCAGTCGTTCAGCTTTAAATTCTTAATTTTATGAATTAATAATTGAAAAAAGTGACAAAAAAGACATTTTTTACAGGGTGAGAACATTTTATCTGTGTGATAATATTAAAATAAAATAGCGTTGAAAATAATCAAAAATCCCCCCCTGTACACCTATTTAGTTTTGAGTTTATATACTCCATTTTAACCAGTATCCAGTATTCTGTAATCTCTATTCATTTCAGATAAGATGCCGAAGGGAGACAAGTTCCAACCCGGAGAGCTGGTGTTCGCGAAGGTGAAGGGGTATCCTCCATGGCCGGCTAGAATTACGGGCATGTCATCGAAAGATAGGTATTCAGGGGATAAGAAGTGATTGTAAATGTAGAGCGCTAGATATCGATATCCAATGTGGGCACTTATAAATTAGAGAATCAATGCTTGATCCCTCGATTGAAGTTATCCCTGCAGGATACTGGTTACTATGCGGATTATAAATAAAAGGTCTAATTATTCTGCAGATTAACCTTAGCATTAATATACCCTATATACCCTATATACCCTATATACCCTATATACCCTATATACCCTATATACCCTATATACCCTATATATTGAAGGTATCCCTGCAGGATACCGGTTACTATGCGGATTATAAATAAAAGGTCTGATTATTCTGCAGATTAACCTTAGCCTTAATATACCCTATATACCCTATATATTACAATCTAGATCAGGCATTAGCATTAATATACCCTATATAACCTATATATTACAATCTCAATAACTGACGTGGGTCAACCCAGACCGAAATATATTTTTAATAAAATCTTGAACACCTACTTCATTAACTCTCTGAGGTTTGGTCGATCATCAACAAATCTTAAAAGTTTTTAGTTTAGGGGATAAAAAAATATATAAAATATAGAACTGTTAAAACGCAAATTGTGAAATTTAGCTAAAATGAATAAATGTAAATGCTCTATATTGTGAACTCCTTCTTGTAGGTATAAGATCTATTTCTACGGAACATATGAGACTGCTAGCCTGAAGAATGAAGATATTTGGAGATATTCTCAAGAAATCAAAGAGAAATTCGCTCCAAAGGAACACAATCATTTCAATATTATTTAGAAAACACTTCAGATACTTTTACCGGGGTCAATGCGCCGAAAATTAGGGAAAATTATAAATAGTGATAAAGAACTTTCAAGTCAATCTCTCTTTTTCATTTTCCTCCTCCTTTACTTATAATTTTTAATGCTAAAGAATGTCGTCACTTGTGTCCAAGGAGTATGAAATAGAAGGGAGATACAACTAACGCGGCCCGCCCTACCGTATGATTAGACATGCTTTGCAGACGGTACTCCATTTATATAAGAAATATTTGTCTGATGTACAATTACCGCATATTCTGAATATTTCTTAAACAAATGGAGTACCCGTCTGCTAAGCATGTACAATCATATGGAAGGGCGGGCCGCGTCAGTTGTTTCTCCCTTCTATTTCATACTCCTTGCTTGTGTAGTTTCTGATTTTGAATGAAAAAAAGAACACATACTTTTGCTAATTTCTTTTATAAAAATTAAAAAGTTCTACTTTTTAAATCAAATATCAAACAATCCCTTTAATGATGTTCGCTGCGGATAGAACATGAAGAGGAAAGGATATCCGGAAGGATTGGATCAGATTGAGAATACTCCGGAAATAGCTGCTGTAGATGTAAGTAGTTAGGTTTAGATCTTTAATCCATGTCCGTTGGTTGGTTGGTAGGTTGGTTTGCTGATTGGTTGGTTGATTGGATATCACATGTTCAGTAAATTGATATTATTTTGTGTTCAGAAATTTTAATGATTTCGAATTGTTCAAGTTTTTCTGTATATTGAAAATGTTAAAATGAATTTTATCCTTTCTTTCCTCTTTTTTTCATAATTTTTCTTCATGTTATTAACTTTTATTAATTGTATTAATGTAGAATGGATGTTCATGATGATTTATGATGATCTGAACTTATTATAATTATAACTCGCTATTTAGGATGATATAAACTTCGAGGATCTGAACACTACAGTTGAAGCATCAATGGTTGAATCTCCTCTACCTCCTTCTAGTAAAAAGAAGGTTGAGGTAGGATTAGTAGATGAGAACTATTTTCAGAACTCAAGATCTGTTTATGTTTATGTGGTGTTGATTCTCAGGACTCCTATTGGAGTATAATATATATATATATAAATATAATATATATTTTTGCATTATCCTTAACTTTTTATAACTAATAATTTTTTCGTTTTTCTAGAAGCCTGTAGCTAAACAAGAAACTCCTAAACCAGAAATAGGAAAATCCACCAAACCAGAGATGAGTAAATCCGCCAAAATCGAAACTTCCAAATCTTCCAAGGTTTCCACACCCAAAGAACCTGCTAAACCTGAGACTAAACCTGGAAAACGAAAAGCAGTGGACGGAGCAGGAGACTCTAAACCTAAAGCTGACTCTGACACTCCAAAGACGGCCAAGAAGGCCAAGATAGACGAGGAGCCGGTCGACGAATCGGCTGAGAAGACCAGTCGAAGCGGACGAGTTATCAAGCCTAAACGGTTTGGAACGGATATCAGTACGCCGACAAGGAACACAGATACAGATAGTGACGTAAGTTATAGCTTGGTTAATAATTTATCCTTATTTTAGTTGAAAACTTGAAATTTACATTTAAATCTTAGTTTTTAAAGGGAGTTACCGGCTATGTAAGGTAGTTGAACCGAGTATGCAGTGTTGTGGAAAACTTCTTTCGGATTCATTTGAGACATATTAAACTTTTTAAAGATCTGTAAATCCTGAGTTTGAGCGTAAATTCGACGTTCAAAACTCCTACTTACGTTTTCAAAGTAGGAGTTTGTTTTGAACGTCGAATTTGAGCTCAAACTCAGGATTTACAGATCTTTAAAAAGTTTAATATGTCTCAAATGAATCCGAAAGAAGTTTTCCGCAACACTGCATACTCAGTTCAACTACCTTACATAGCCGGTCACTCCCTTTAATGTTTTTTTTTCAGAGTCAAGGTGAGGGAGAAAAGAAGCTGAGAAAACCACCCACTAAAAAGGTTTGAATTATTTTTAGTAAAATGAATATCATTTTTTGGGGGGAGGGGCGGGGGGGTCAACATCGATGTGGACTAAAAGAGACAACAGATGTTATTGCATGTGATTTAGACCATCTATGTCAGAAGCGGCATGTCAAATTCACAATTATACCATAAAGCTAAATTTTTACTAAGAAACCACAATTGACAAAAATAAGATAAAGTTTAATGGCGAACGTTGTGAATCAGATATGCCACTTTATATAAATGGAGGGTCACTTAACAGTCCCTTTAAATAAGAATTGTTCAGGGAACGAGTAAGACTGAAGTAGAAGAAGAAAAGGAAAACGCGGTCGGAAACAAAACCCCGCAGAAAATGGTTTGTCAATATTTGTTAAAAGTTTATTTGATTGATTCAATGATTATTTAATCAATTAACTAAACTATTACTTACTTGATTTAATGATTACTAATTAGATGTAATCAATAACTATATTTTAAAGGGAGTGTCGATGAAATTTCAAGTAAACCATCATTAAATGAGGACAATTTTCAACTGTACCCTTTAAGCCTTCATCTAATAAATATCATTCGGTAGATATCATGACATTTCATTAATTCCTTTAAGCCTTGATCCAATAAATATCATTCGATAGATATCATTACATTTCATTCATTCCTTTAATTACTTGATCTAATAAATATCATTCGGTAGATATCATGACATTTCATTCATTCCTTTAATTACTTGATCTAATAAATATAATTTGGTAGATATCATGACATTTCATTTATTCCTTTAATTACTTGATCTAATAAATATCATTCGGTAGATATCATGACATTTCATTCATTCCTTTAAGCCTTGATCCAATAAATATCATTCGGTAGATATCATGACATTTCATTCATTCCTTTAAGGGTTATTACTTGAAAATACGACTAAGTCTTATTTATTAATAAATTCAAAAAATTAATTTATAGATTAAATTAGTTCTAACTGATTTATTTCATAAATACTTAATTAATTTTATTATTTAATTGATTTATCCTAGACCGGAAGTGGAGACGGTGTATCACCGTCTAAGACCACTAGAACACCGGAAGAAGAGAAAGCAAGGAAGCTTGAGAAACGGAAAAGTAAACTAAGGTTTGTATTTATATTTATGTTTATTAACTCCATAGAAAAATTATTAAAAGGCACAAATGAGTTTCTCTAAAAATATGTTTTCCTTGGAAGTTTTTACATTTGAATTTTAGTCAGCGTTAATGTTGCGCATTTCTGATATAATCCTATTTGGTTTTTAAAGAAATTAGAATTTTTTTGATTTAATCCTATTTGGTTTTTAAAGAAATAAGAATATTTTTCATATAATCCTATTTGGTTTTTAAAGAAATTAGAATATTTTTGTTGTTTTCTTCTCCTGAGCTTTCACAGTCCTCATGTCTTTATTCAAAATTATTTAGTCTTTTTTTAAAGGGACAGACCGGCTATGTATGGTAGTTAAATTGAGTATGCAGTGTTGTGGACAAACTCTGATTCATTTGAGACATTAAAAACTTTTTAATTATTAAGTAACGACGACAAAAAATGTTAACAAAATTCTTCAATAAACTAATTAGTTGTTTAGGAACAGGTTGAAAAAATTGAAATTAACTCATGTCATCGAAAATAAGTAATCTTATTTAATTTTAGTGTCTGTAATCTCTCTTTAATCACAAAGATTTTCTGCAGATTTTCTGGAATTTTTATTAAAAAGACGACATTAAAGAATTTACGAACAAATTCATAGGAAATAAAAAATTGAATATAATGATAAAAAAAGGAAATAATTAATTTTAACTTGGATTTATCGACAAATTTCTTTTGCGAAATGTGTTCCTAAACATCTAATTAGTTTACTTAAGAATTTTTACCATATTTTTCGTCATCGTTTTTTAATAAAACCCGATTCTGAAAACGTACCACCCAAAAACATGATTTTGAATGTCGACATTGCGCTCGTGGAAACGTTTTATATTTATCAAGTGAATCCTAAAGAATTTTTCACAACCCTGCATACTCAGTTCAACTACCTTACATAGCCGGTCTTTCCTTTTAAGTTTCACAGAAAACATTCTCGACATAGCAGAAAAAAATGGCGGGTTTAAAATATTTTGCGATTGTTTCTTTTTGCTTTTACATTTTTTTCACTGTTGATTTTGTACTTCTTCCAGTAAACTTAATTACAAATCTAATAATGATTTACAATGCATTTCTCAAATTTCTTTCAAGTTCCTTTTAAAACCTGAAGAAAAAAAATTAGAAATAAATGATTAAATTTCTTGTATATTAGGTGGCTGAAAATTGAACAAAGATTAGTGGAACTAGATATTGCGATTAAATCCTCCCTTCATCTAGAAAGACCCTCCCCTGACAGGTTAGTGTATCCAGATATTGCGTTTAATCCTCCCGACATCTAGAAAGACCCTCCCCTGACAGGTTAGTGTATCTAGATATTGCGTTTAATCCTCCCGACATCTAGAAAGACCCTCCTCTGACAGGTTAGTGTATCTAGATATTGCGTTTAATCCTCCCGACATCTAGAAAGACCCTCCTCTGACAGGTTAGTGTATCTAGATATTGCGTTTAATCCTCCCGACATCTAGAAAGACCCTCCCCTGACAGGTTAGTGTATCTAGATATTGCGTTTAATCCTCCCGACAGCTAGAAAAACCCTCCCCTGACAGGCTAGTGTATTCAATTGTGACCATTTCTCTTTTTATACATTGTAAAACAATTTCACTAATCTTTAAACCTTCCTTAGGAACATGTTAAGTCCAAAACTAAATTTGGGTCTGAACGGTTCAGCCGTTTTTTTACGTTTATTGGACACAAACGGACAGACAAGACAGACTCTCAAACACGCGAAGTATATATTTTTAAAAATTATAATTCTTAATAAAAGGCAGAATAGAAACGTAGAGTAACACTGTACAGAAAGAGACAATAAACCTACTTTTATCTACTTATATTTGTTAAACTTGGCTTTTTATTTATCTATTATCTATATTTATATTCAGGTGTATCTCAGCTCTAGAAGAACTGAATGAGCTCTCTTTAGCTCCTTTTATGCTCAAAAAACAACCTGACATTGTAACAACAGTTCGGTGAGATGTGTTTAATATTTTTTGAAAACTGATTTTTCTTCCCATCGCGTAGCGGACAACAATTTTTTGTTGAATTTTTAGTTATAAAGCTAAAATATGAAAAAAATCTCTTCTTGGTGTTCAATTGTTCATTCCCCCCCCCCCCCCAAAAAAAAAAAAAAAAAAAACCCCCCCCCCCCGGGGGGGGGGGGGGTTAATTCTTAAAAATATGGACCCCTTGTTTTTTTTCCCTTTCTGTAACTTTCAGATAATTGAAAATAAAGTTTCTTAGTCTGGGGGGTTCCCGTCTACTAATTCATATGTCTAAATGAAAAAATCTTAATAATAGATTATTTTATCTACTTTTTTCCCCCCATGAAAACCTGCGGTACATTTTTTTTTATTTGAAGATCTGGGGGGGGGGAATGAAAATTTGGACATGAAATGGCGAGTTTTTTTTATCCTTTTCATACTTTCTAAAAAATCACTTATTTTCTCAGTTCAGCATTAAAAAAATCATCGCTCCTCGCAATAATACCTAACTTTTGGGGGGAAATTATTTTTGAAGAAAATAAACACCCCTGTAAACCCATAAAAAAAAATCCCACAAATATATGCCGTTGAATATTTAAATTTATTAACATTCTGATGTATTGTGTAGACGGCTCCGGAAATATATTGGTCCTCACAGCTTCAATACCTGGCCAGATCAGGATCAAAGGTAAGACATTGATTAATTGATTTTATTTTAGTTGATTGATTGATTCATTGATGTGGTTTTTTATGGATCGTTTGTTAAACTTGTTTGCTAAATGAAAGTCATTGGTTGATGGATTTATTGTTAATTTATGTTTTTTATCATATATATTGATCTGTTTTAACTATCTGTTTTATTTGTAGGTGAAGGGTTTTTTTTTGGCTTATGATATTGATAAGTTGATTATTAGAGCATTTTATTAGAAATTTTGAAATATCACAAAAGTACAAAACTTAATGTCCTAAAACTTTGTTGCTAGATCTTAATCGACCTATAATTCACCTATCCTGCAACAAAAGATATAAGCAAATCTATTTTTTTCGTTGTCCATGGTTTAAACCATTGTTGGACTGTGAGGAGGGGGGGGGCGTTGATTATTCAGTTGATTAAAAAATTTATGAGTTGATAGATAGTGGTTTAATAGTGGCGTTAGTGTTTTAAACATTTTTGCTTTTGATATCGTTAGATTGACAGGTCAACCGAATATGATTGATTGATTATTGATTGATTATTTAGGAAGAAGATGGAAACATCTATTGAGAAAATACAGAAGAAAGCTGATCAGATTTATAACAAGTTTAAATCTTATTTTGCTTACCAGGTAACAGAAAACTCCTTCCATTGCCTCATAATGTTGTTGATTCACTATTTTTTGTGTGCTGCATCTTTTTTTAACATTAAAAACGACAATCCCATTTTCTTTTAAATTTGTACAAGCTACAAGACCTCATTTTATTCTTGACTTAGTACATTCATTTCATTTCATTTCTTATGGGATTGGGTGGTGATAGTAGGACATTTGTAACAGCCTGATTTTATTGATATAAATATGTTAAATAGGTTCCTCTCCAAGGGCTTGCATCATTTAAAAATGAAGCTCATCATTCATTATTTTTCATTTTATTTTATTTACTTTATTTTTATTTTTTACATGATTTGATTTGATTGCAACAATCCTAAACCTTGTCGTATTTTAAGAGTTCCAAACTTTCCTATCTTTGGGAAGCCAAAACTAAGGAATGCGCGAGTTACGAATTGGTTCCGGTAATAGTTGTCCGAAGTAACATTTAAGCTGGAACTTAACTTTATTTACGAGGATATAGGACTATTGATCTGAAAGTTTCCCCATCTTGAGAAACCCAAACCGCCAACGGAGGATAAGTAATGGTCCGGTCCAACCCGGCCATCCCTACCTGGAGGCAAGGCAGGATCTAAGTCCTGAAGCATATTATTCCACAGCCTATCATGTTGTGCCTACGCTATTACACTAATATTGTACCTGTTAGTTACGTTCCACTTGCCAAAACCTTTCCTCTGTTATGCGGTGGATGGTTTCCCCTCTTGACATTATTGTGTTTATATTCGCCCCATCCCCACTCAGGTATTCTTTAAGTATTTGGCGGGTATCAAGAAAGCCTGCCTGGTTATCATGAAACTCTTGGAGTCCATTCTCTCTTCTTGTGAATCCAACATGCTGTTCACTCTTATCAGTCATGATTCTGATGTTTTCACATCATGGGCATTCCTTGTAGGACCTACCAAGTTTGTTTGGTCGTCAGTTACCCAACCCTAGGTCACCAGCTTTTGTTTGATTTAGGTACCTGGAAGGGACCGAGTCATTGACATGCCTTTGTAGCTTGAACCTGTCAAGTGGTTCATTTAACCATCTCAGACTGGACTGGCTTTGGATGACATTGGATTTCTTCCACATGTTTGGCGTGGAGAGTTTGGATTAGAGATTTTTTGGAGATTTTGCTTAAGTCTTTTACTCCCAATTGGTCAAGCTAGCTTGTAGATTGTAAGTCCAGTGATTCCAGCCGTTGCTTGATGGGTTTAAGTCCTGCTTCACCCATCCCATTGCCTTTGACGATGAACTTGGTAGCTGAAGGATGAACCTGGAAACCATGTTCTGGATTCGTTTTAGTTCCGAAACGGTTGATTTTGAAATAACCATTGTTTCTGTTGCATTTAGGATGGAAGGAATTGAACAACATTCCCATAATCTATTAGCAGTTAGGGCCCTGTTTAGCCCTGTGCACGTGCTCCCCATGATAGTGTGAGCGAATGCCTTGATCATCCCTTGTTCTCTAGCTTTAATTAAATTTCTACCCTTGATTTGTATTTCTTGTATTTGGCCACTAGGGAAGCTTCTAACTCAGGTTCTATATCAGAACTCTTCCAAGGGCCTTTGACATTGCCTGAGGCTAGTACCAGTGTTTTGTCGACCACCAGCAGCATATGCATATCTGTGCAGAACTTGTTTACTGCTCTTAATTGTCAGTTCATTCCTCTTACAGTGCAAGAGATGAGAACCAGATCATCAGCTAAAAATAATGGCAAAATAACAATTCCATCAAACTCCCTTTTAAATTGAATAAAACACGACCACGATGATCTTGAAGATGTGAAAATATATATAGGATCCCTTATAAAAATAAGCAATATACTCTTAATTACAATGATTATCTAGATCAAACAAATATGGGTCCCAATTTTTTTTCAAAGATTGAGCTTAGAAATACATACCAAAGTGAAAACAATTTTGTATCAAACATTAGAAATTTTAGCGGATTAAATGTCCTTAGTTTTTACATTCAAAGTTTGCCATCAAAATTTGAGGAATTGAAAATATATCTTGATAGAATCGAAAAATCAGGAGGTAATGTATCAGTTTTAGTTTTACAAGCAATATGGGATGTTTCTATACCTAACTTATTCTTTATCAAAGATTTGGAACTATTCACTAATACACGAAAAAACATCAAAAGGGGGAGGTGTTGCAATATATTGTAAAAAAAACTTTAATCCAAAATTGATACCTGGTTTAGTTATACAAAATACTTTCACTTTTGAGTCGATTGCAATAGAAATACAACTTGAACACGTCTCAGTTTTAATTGGATCTTATTACAGATCTAACAAATATTTCAGTATCAATAATTCATCAAATCACTTTGAACCATTTTTTAACGAGTTATTATCTTTTTTAGAAATTTGCAATAACAGAAATTACAAATCCTATATTTTCTTAGACACTAACATAGATCTTCTTAAGCAAAACAATGATGTTGTCAGTGAGTATACTATGCATATATTGTCTTCAGGCTTTTTCCCTTTAAATTTTTCGGCCTTGCGAATTGTAAATATACAAAGTTTTGCACTTCTAGACCATATTATAACTAATGATAACCCAAAAGATACCAACGTTTTCCAAAATATCCAATCGATTTCAGACCATAAAAAAAAATTTTTTACCGATAATTCTTGATTTAAAACACAACAAAAATTCATTTCAAAATCTGAAAAGGAACATGAATGATAATAACATAAAATCGTTCAAAACTGCGCTTATAAAAGAAAAATAGAATAATGTATTTTTATCTCAAATTTGCAGAGATGGCGGCAATAGAATTTAATCAAACATTTTTCATAAATTTTGAAAAACATTTTCCTTTACAAAAAAATAAAAATAAAAATGCAAGAAAAGTACCTCTAAACCAATTCATGACAAAGGAACTACTTTCATTGAGAGCGCAAAAACTATCTTTTTATACTATTTTTCAGCAAACTAAAAAGCTTGAGGATAAAATCAAGTTTAATGTATGCAGAAACATTTATAATAGAAAAATAAGACAAGCCAAGAAGATCTATTTTAGTAAATTAATAGGTTGCCAAAAACAAAATCCTAAGAAAATGTGGGATACATTAAAAAACATTACAGGGATGGGAAACAAACCCAACCAGAGTTCAATGAAAACTTAATTATCTCAGATCAAGTTATTATTGCTAATGAGTTCAATAAATATTTTTCATCTATTGGCCAATCTAAAGCAGAAGCTATTCCTAAAGTAGATAAAGATTTTTCCGAATTCCTTCCACCCTCCTCCATCCATTCTTTTGCTTATATTCCAACTGATCCAGTAGAAATAATGGAAGAATTAGAAAGACTCACAAACAAAACCAGGATATAAATGGAGTTTCAGGAAAATTGCTTAAAAACATATCTATAGAAATAGCCCCTGCTTTATCTTACATTTTTAATTTAAGCCTTGAGACAGGTTTATTCCCTTATTGTTGGAAAATGTTCAGAACCATTAAAAAAGATAAAAAAGATGACTTATCCAATTTTCGTCCAATTGGAGTAATCAACAGATTTTCTAAAATATTGGAAATCAATTTGGTTTTTTGCCAGGACACAATGTTATGCAAGCAATTACTAAGCTTTTAAACTATATTTTCAGCGCAGTAAATAATAATGAATCTGTTTTACTTATCATGCTAGATATTTCTTGATTACAAGATACTTCTAAAAAAGCTTGACAACGCAGGAATAAGGGGCAACACATAACAATGGTTTGAATCTTACTTATGGGGTAGGGGGCAAAAGTCGATGTAAATGGTACCTTCTCGGACTTAGTCGAAATATTAGAGATGGGTCTTGTTCAAGGATCAAGTCTAAGCTGTTTACTGTTCATTATCTATGTAAATGACTTCTTTCAATCTAACACACTTTTCAGTGTAGCCTTTGCCGATGACACAAATGTTGCATCAAAATGTAAAAACATGAATACTCTAGAAGACACAATAAATAAAGAATTAGAAAAAATAACTTGTTGGTACATGTCTTATAAACTTATTATCAACTTTGAGAAAACTAATGCAATTTTATTTTCAAATTCTCTAAATGCAACTGTTTTCTTAAAATTAGGAGAATCTACACGAAAAATTGAAGGAATAAAAGAAACAGATTCAGTGAGATTCTTGGAAATATGGCTGGACCCAAAATTGAACTTTAATGACTATTTTATAAAGATATACAAGCGGTTAACTTTTTCACTTTTTAAGCTTTGAAACCATGAAATTGCTCTATTACTCCTTTTCCACTCCCATTTAGAATTTAGTTCCAACATTCCTAATGCTAACTTCAAACAAAAATATTGATAAGATAGAATCATTTCATAAGAAAGCTATCCGTCTTTTGATGGGGTTACCTAGAATAAGTCACACAACGGAAGCTTTATGGGCCTTAAATATACTTCCCTTCAGAAAATTAAGAATTTTTAATGTCATAAAATTTTTATTTCAATTAAAAGGAGATCAATTACCCCCAACATTTAAAAAAGATTTTATATTATCAAAACTATCAAAAACGCAAATCTTAGAAACAGAAACGATTTTTATATTCCTAGAATAAAATCAATCAAAATTGGACATTGCTCCCCCCTCACAATTTCCCTAAAATAAGGGATGAAAATAAACGACACTTTTCTAAGCTTTCAAATATCAATCTTATTTCGAATTTTAAACAGAATTTAATAGAAGATTTTTATCAGCAGAACAAATGTTTTAATTCTGACACATGCTATGTTTGCAAAAGAATCAAAGAAACCAAAGATCATTTTACAGAGAAAAGAATAAAAAGATTAAAAAGAGTAAAAGATATAATCAAACAAAAAGGATGTCAATAATCAGTGCGAATTAAAAAGATGCTTAAAAATGCCCGTTTTTCATAGAACCTATATCTTTTTCACACTCCATAAAGCTTTTTTTAAAACTTTTTTTTTAACATTACAAATAAATATATAATTTTAATTTAAATAT